AAAAGTTGTTCTGGTTCCACAAAGGGAGGAGGCCTGAGCAGAGGGGGTGCTGTGCTGAGGCTGGAGGACATCCTGGATTTCCATATCCTGGTGAATAAAGCACAGAGAAACTGAAAATCCACGAGTCAAAATAGAAACTCGCTGAGCTAATTCAGACAGGAAGAGAAACACAGCAGGGATGAAAACGTTGGAGCAGCAAGATGTCAAGAATAAAATATTAATTTTATTATTATTATTATTATTGATTATATATTACCTTATAACAAAAAAACTTATAACTACTCTTAAACTATAACCAAATACTTACTCCTGTAAAATCTCACAACCTCTAAAACGAATATTTATCTAAACAAATCCCCTTTCCATGGGGAAATTCCTGCTGGTCCAGCCTGAGCCTCCTGTCCTGTCCCTGTTCCCCTGTCCCAAATCCTGCCAGGGCTCTGCCCTGAGGCCTCCAGGAAAGCTGATCTATAAAGAAAGACAGAATAAACTGGAATTGAAGTTTACACAAAGGATGAAACCACAATGTAACACACGTCAAAGACCTCTGAAAGGAGGAATTACCTGTCTTCTGTCTTCCTCAAGAGGATTAAGCTCAAGGAAGTTTTAGTTTAGGTGTTATGGGCGGGGAAAAAACCTTCAAAAATAAATAAATTTGCACTAGTAGAGGCTTTGTAGGGGATGGGTTTTTTTTTCCTGGCACATGGGGAAGTGAAAGAAAACTCTGTCAAATGTTTGTCTCAAAATATTCTAAATAAAAGGATTTTCTAGTGGCAGCTTTTGACAGCTTTTGCTTATGCTGTGAAAGTCTGGGAAACGAAAGCTTCAGTGGCTTCCTAACCTCAGACATGAGCTGTATTTAGTCAGATTTCCCAAACTGCCATACTATAATCAGAAAATATTTTAAAAATAGAGTTTATCAATTAAGAGATGGTTATTTTAATAAGGAGCGAAATTGGCTGATGCTGCTTTGAGGAAATGCGTTGTGAATTACAGAAAGTCAATAAATAAATTAAAGCCAATCAGTGGGTTTGCTCATGGGAGAAGTGTTTACACCACCCAAAAGATAGTTCCAGTCTGGTTACTTGAGAAGAGCTTGCAATAGGGAAACAAAAATATTTGTCTTTATACATCAGGAAGCAGAGATAGTTGGTTTGCATTTCTTTTACAATAATATTGCTGAGAAGAAAAACCATTGTATAAAACCCTCAGCTGGGCCTGGCTGGGACTTTCCAGTCTCCAGTTCAGTGGTTCTAAATTATTGCTGCCTTTTACAAAAGGATGAGCACAAGCAAAATTAAAGGTCCATCTTTCCTAGCAGGGCTCAGTCCTTGCTTGAAATTCCATGAAATAATTTTTGGGTGTTATTTTTTTAATTGCAAGTTCCTGTTAAATACGTGATATTGCTTTATATCTGTCATCTCCTCAAATGCTGAAGAGCAAAAGGGTCAAAAATGTGATTTAGTCCATTACTTGTGGAGTAAAAGGTAATTTATAGCAACTGCTCTTAAATTAGAGCCAGCAGATGATGGATATGTGCATTATAGCACAACCAGGTCCTGAGATATTTGAATTAATTAACATCATTAGGAGGCGCCAGGCCAGGTTGGATGAGCCTTGGGCAACCTGCTCTAGTGGAAAGTGGCAAGGGTGGAACGAGATGGGCTTTAACTCTTCCAAGGTTCTCCCTCCTGCTGCGTCTGTAGGAATTTTATTTCCCGCTGCCTTGTTATCCTTCCTGCTCCTGGTCAGCATCGGTGTTTTTATCCCAAAGAGGAGATTCTGCTCCAACATGGGGAGCACAGCCCGACCCCCTGGCTGTCCCCTCCTGGCAGGAGCTGTGCAGAGCCACAAGGGCCCCCTGAGCCTCCTGTGCTCCAGGCTGAGCCCCTTCCCAGCTCCTCAGGGATTCTCCAGCCCCTTCCCAGCTCCTCAGGGATTCTCCATCCCCTTCCCAGCTCCTCAGGGATTCTCCAGCCCCTTCCCAGCTCCCCCAGGGATTCTCCAGCCCCTTCCCAGCTCCCTCAGGGATTCTCCAGCTCCCTCAGCCTCTCCTGGGGCTCCAGACCCTTCCCTGCTCCTTCCCGGCTATCCCGTGTGAAGGTCTCGGAGTTTCAAACCCTTCCCGGCTATCCCGTGTGAGGGTCCCGGTGCTCCAAACCCTTCCCCGCTCCCTCCCGGCTATCCCGTGTGAGGGGCCGGGGCGGGCGGGGCGCTGGGCCGGGGCGGGGCGGCGGAAGGGTCGGGGCTGAGGGGAACCGGGGGAAGCTGAGGGGAACCGGGGGAAGCTGAGGAGAACCGGGCTGGGGACGGAGGGATCGGGGCTGAAGGGAAGCGGAGGAGGCTGAGGGGAGCCGGGCCGAGGGGTCGGAGCTGAGGGGAGCCGGGCCGAGGGGAGCCGGGCTGAGGGAAGCGCCCGTGCGGGGCTCGCCGTCGGAGCCGTGGCAGCGTCGCTTCGGCCGCCAGTCGGAACCCCGAGAGCAAGGAGAAGCAGGTTGGTGAATTTACTTTTTATCCGCTTTTTTTAAAATCCGCTTTCCCCCCCACTCTATTTCCTGAACCATCCCCCTGAACACAGCCCGCAGCCGGTTCCACATCCCGCTCGCAGATCCGGGCGGTTTCAGCACTTTCCCTCCTTATATTCCCTGAGATGCAGTGTCAGAACAAAACAAAAATAAATCTGGGTGAATCTGGCTGTGAGTCCCCGGTGCTGCGGGAGCTGTGATAGAAGAGAACTTCGGAAAGTTAAAGAGAGGTACAACATTTATAAATGTGTTTTATAAGGAACACACTGAGAGCTCTTAACTCCCAAGCCTGCCTATAAGGGGATGTAACCTCTAAGTGCCAAGGAATCCCAGGAGCTCTGCTCGAAGGAAGGACAGATCCACAGCATGAATGAGGAGCGGTTTCACTACAAACGAGAGAAATTCGGCGGTCTGGAGAAACTCTGAAGAGTTCGGGACGTTTTGCTGTCGAGTCTTGGGGGAGAGGCTCCACCAGCAGGTTTAGAGTTGGATTTGTAGCTGTGCTTCTGCCCAGCTTGGGTTGCCTTTATTAAAGCTTTAATATGAACAAAATTATTCAGTGTGGGTCGTACTCATTTTCTATTTTGTGTGTACCACTTATTCAGAACTCTTTATTAAGAATGGTTTTTAATATACTCATTGGCAAATGGAATTCCATGCCCAGACTGACAGGACTGGAAAGCCCTTGGCACCCTTAAAGAGCAGGTCAGAAGATGTTGTGCATAGACATTACAGCTAAAATATTTTTGTGCTTTTTAGAGATTTTTAATATTTAAAATCAGCTGTAGTGCAGTGCTTGCAAAAATCAGGGATGGTTTATGTGGGTTTCCATGCCCAGTGTGGGTGTTTGTGGGTCCTGCTCATTTCAGGTTGTGCTGAACCTGTTTCCCATGCTGAGAAGCCAGGGAATTCTAGGACTTCTCACCTGTCCTGTAAATAAAAATGATCTTATTTCATTGCTCTCCTCCTTGCCTCTCATATCTGTTGTGTTTTGGTTTTAATCCCGACTCTTGGTGCTGAGCTATTCTGTGATTGATATGGAGAGGAATATAGTATTTATATAAGAAATCAGAAAATTTCTTGTACACAGCAGCAGCAAAGTCAGTGGTTCCAGAATAATTTAAGATACATTTGTTCAAAAGGACTCAAATTCCTTCCTTTTGTACAGACACTTCCCCAGCCTCAAATAAACCAATTTGTCCTGGCTGTGTTCATTTATTCTCTCCAGGACAGAGCTTGCAAGTTGTAATAATTCTCTGTATTTAACTTCCTGTTCCCTGTAAATGCTCCTGTAAAACTTGTATTCTTTCTCACAGTGGAGTAAGGAATTCTGGCAAGTTCACTGTTCTCACTGGAAAAGATTTTGGTGAATCCTGTCTGCTCCAGCCGTGCATTTATCCTGCCCTGGGATTTATCTCTTTTTACCCAAAGTTTACACAAGGAAGGCTGAACTTTGAACAGAGAGGTGCTTGATTCTGTGGCCATGCAGCTTTCAGGGCTTTTTGGTCATGTTCAGCACTGGGTTTGGTCAGGAATGTTGGAAAAACAGCTCTGTAAAGCCAGCCTAGTTTGATGTGACAGGAGATCCTAAGCTGGGATCAAAAATGGTTTTGCCTTCTGCTCCAAATGTGAAATTAGTGCTGACATCTCTGACTGCTCTGTCTGGCCATTTTTATGTCAGAATCCCAAAATCATTAAGGTTGGAAAAGCCCTCCAAGGCCATCAAGTCCAGCCTTGTCCCCAGCCCTGAGTGCCACTTCCAGGAGTTCCCTGGACACCTCCAGGAATGGGGACTCCAAACCTCCCTGGGCAGGATCCAATCCCTCCCTTCCAATCCTGACCACCCTTCCCAGCAAGAAATTATCCCTTAATTTTTTTTCCCTTCCATCTGGAAATTAAAAAACCTTTATCTTCACTAAACTACATAGAAATTATAATTTCCCTTCTGTATGGGTTCCAGGACTCTGTGGTTGTTTTTTTCTCAGTGTAAATGGGTATTTCATTGGGGAAACTCTAACACCCAGGGCCTATGGATAACTTTATACATTTTGGAAATGGATGTCCAGTTTTCTTGGAAGTGATCTCTGCCAGTTTCCTGCTGGGAAGTGGTTGAAGGATGGACAGGGATTTTTGTTGCACCCTTGAAAGAGGAACATGGGCTGTTTCTCATTAGATCATTTAATAGTGTGAATAATGTACATTTATGTCAAATGAACTCCTTTAAAAGGTACTTTTTGCTTCTGAAATTAGGGAAAATCTAACTAATTTCAGTTATTTGCAAATAATTCCTGTCTGTATCTTTGTGAAATGACCTGATAGCTCCATAATTCCTCTGGCCCTCATGGCTCTCTAGCAGAAATAAACTAATGGAAAAGGAACGGGTGAGGTGGGCCACCTACCTGCTGTGCTGAGAGCCAAATTGTCCCCTGAAATTGGGGCTGGGAAAGTCTGAGATTCCCTCTTTAATTGCTGAAAATGGAGCTGAAAAAGCCCAGTGGATGGGGAGAAAAGTGGATGGGATTGGCTGATCCTGCAGAGCACAGTGCTGGGGAAATTCAGCTCCACAGGCAGGAGACAAGGACCTGGGAACTGTGACTTCCCTGGGCAGCTGGCTGTGCTTCAGGTAGATATGGAACATAGAAATAAATCTATTTTCCAGGACATGCAGCCCCAAAATGTGTTACATAACCTTGGCACTGCCTCTTTTGGCTCCAGGGATGCTCTCAAGGAAACTGCCCTCAGAAATATTCCAGGAATGGAACCCTTTGGAGGGATTCCCTAACTTGAATTTCTCACCCTGGCATTTGCTGCCTGACTTGAGCTGTGGATTTTACTCAGCACTCAGCTCTTGACTACAACAGCAGCCAAACTCTCCTCTCTGGAGCTTTAACTATAAAAATAGATTTTGATTTTAGCAGAATTTATGTAACTATTGGATGAAAATACAAAAGAACAAAGTACCTGAAATGAAGGAACAATGATGAAATGTTGCTGTAAGGTTTAGTGAAGTCTTCACTGTTGGAATGGGTGAGTGCTTCTGTGTCTGCTGCACTTGGAAAATTCTGATTTTTTTCTCCCTTTCTGGCCTGTTCTTCCTTTCCTGGTGTAGAGAGAAGTGTCTCTCCCCATCCCAGTGTTGGGAATTAGATGATTTTTAAGTCCCTTTCCAAACCATTGTGGTTTTCCATGATTCTGCTTGCAAAGGTATGAGCACCAAATGAACTGAAGTGCCCCAAAATGAAATAATAGACTGATAATTATAAGCCCTCCATTAATTTTCTGTGTGTTTTTCAGGTCAGCACTACAAAACAAGATGTGTTGGCAAGTCATTCCAACCATGTTTGTGCTGATGGGTAAGTCACTAAAGAACATCCCAAAACGCAGCTTGGGATAATTTTTCAGATCAGGAAACATCAGCACACATCCAAATAAATGCCATGGACAGATCTGATGATACAAAAACTTGTGGGGAGTTTGTTTTGTTGCCCAGAAGTGCAAGGAGAGCTCCCCTGCTCCTGGGGGATGCTGCCTTTCCTGCTCCCATGGGCACCACAGGGCTGCCAAAGGGTGCTCAGCTCGCTCCAAATGCTGCATTAATAAACTGGGAAATGCCTCTGACAATATTGGCATCTGCTCTGCAAGGACAGCTGGTATTTGCCTTCCTTTTTAAATTTTTTCTTGTTAAAATAAGGACTATTTAAAGGGTTTTGGTGGTGGCGCTTAGGGAGAAAGCAGACCCTGTAATCCAGTGGAGTTATTTGGAAAATTTGTGTCATCTTTGCAAAATATGAATCAAAAAGAGGAATAAATCATTCAATTTAGGTACCTTTTATATAAATAAACACTTTTTTGTCTTGCTCTATATGCATTGTTATCCACTCAGTATCAAATATTGCATTGTTGAAATTCTTTTAAGTACCTTTTGTGATCTGAACATGTTGAATAGCTTTAATTGGAAAACCTGGATGCTGCAGGGAGGTTTCCTGGGATTTCAGAGCAGTTTGTCACCATCTGATGGCCCTGCTGCTCTGGGGACAGAACTGCAAGTCAGGCCTTCCTCTGGGTCATTTTAACCTCAATTTTTCTGTTTCTGAAGAAAGGGGCTGAGCACATTTCTTGACTTTATAATGTTTAATTAATCCCTTGAGATGATCTGTGATACACAAGGGGGAAGTTCCTTAGAAAAAGAGATGAGCTGGGGACAGTGCTGCTTCTCTGTCCTGCTCTGTGTCGCTTTTTTGTCTTTTTTTAATCATGGCTTATGGCCTGAGAGTTTGTTTGCTCCACTCCTCCTGCTGGAGGCCTAATGAAGCTGGGATTTACAGAGGCACAAACTCTGTTTAGTGGGAGAGGAGGGAAGAGAGAGCCCTGCAGGAGTCTGGCAGCACAAAATCTGTGTGGAGAGAGAGCAAAACCCTCTGCAGAATAACACTCTGCATCTTCTGCTTTTAACAGCTTTTTTTAGAGCTCTCATTTCATGTTTTGGTATTATTTAACTCATGCTCTGTGCTAGAGAATTATGAACTTCTATTAATCAAACAGTGCCAGAGATATTCTGGTATTTCTTGTTTTGGCTGTGGCAAGGCATAGAGCATCAATTAATTTCTATTTAATGAACTGCTTAAAATTTCTGCCCTTCCCAAGCAGAATGCAAAGTGCACCCATGCCCCTGTGCCTTGCTGCAAGCAGAGCTTTAATCTTTAAATTCAGAGTGTTTTACAGGAAGTTGTTCCCTGCTCATCCTTGTGAGCACAATTCAAGCTATGACATCAACAAATGTGCTCAGAGTGGTTTTATTTTAAGTTTTATGGAAAAAAAAATTATAATTTTCCTGCCTCTCACTTCCCAGATAATGCCCTGGGGTTGTGCAGTTGCACCCACAGTAATATTGCCCTTTTTCATTTCAGAGTTACAGTGGGACTGTGTTTTATATTTATAACAGGATTATATTTTTATTGAAATGGAGCTGTTTTAAAAGAGCTGGAGGGGATCTGTTCCAGCACTGCATGGGGAGATGCGACTCACACCCAGTTTAGGATTCACTTCAGGATTCACTGCAGTTTTGGTTGATAAAAGCCAATTTATCCCAAAGAGGTGCTTTGCCTCAATCTTGGCCTTGACTTTTTCAAGAGATTGAGAAAGCAGAAGTTAATTTGCAGTGAGGTTGGGGTAAAATCTGGAATCTGTCACCTGTGACATCATTCAGAGAGGATGTTTTTATTAATTTTGTCTTTACCTAGAAGGGATATTTTTATTAATTTTGTCTTTACCTCAGGGAACAACCCCTGGAAACAACCTCATTTTTACCTATTTCTGTATCACATAACCACTGTCTTTTAGCTGTTCAAAGATATGAACTTTTCCTTTTATTTCCAATACTTTTCCCTTTATATTTGCAGACTTCCTTCAGATGGCAGCTGCCCATTGCATGGTCCATCCAGTTCCTCCCAGGAATTTCACACTGCCCTGTGTGCTGCTGAATGAGACCTTTTTGAGCCCTTTCTCAGCTGGGAGCTGGTCTGGTTTGAGGAGAGAACTTGGAGCACCCAAATTTAAACCTTTAATGAATGAAGAAAATTTTCTGTGCTGCCTTTGGAGTGCCAGCAACATTGATTGTTCTTTGTACAGAGCAAGCATGCAGGCAAGGAAGTTTATTCCTTCAGAAATAAATCTCTCTGCTCCTCAGAAAATAGGTGGGTTTAGCACTCAAGGGCACACGGAGTTAATTATTCCAACAATATTTAGGGTTTTTTGTTGTTTGGGAGGAGAGGGGTGGGTTGGATTAATGAGAATTCACTTTTATCCTGGGCAGGCAACACAGTGTGGCAAATCCTTCCTTAGGGTGGCAAAATGCTTCCTCAGTGTAGCAAAATGCTTCCTCAGAGTGGTAAAATCCTTCCTCAGTGTGGCAAAATCCTTCCTCATTGTGGCAAAATCCTTCCTCACAGTGGTAAAATGCTTCCTCAGAGTGGTAAAATCCTTCCTCAGAATGTAGTGGAAGATGGAGGAATTGTACAGCAGAGTTTCAAAAGGGGAAAAAAAAAAGTTGGCTGTCTTTCCAGGGGAATTGTGAATAAAATATGGAGCACTGCATAAGAGGACATAAACCCAGATCTTCAAAGGAGTTTAGACAGTGTGAGGAATATTTTAAATATTTTTGATGGATGTGGGCTTTAAACTCCATCAACAGGCAGGGGAGATGGAGAGCAAATGGCATCATTTCTACATGAATTATGAGGCTTTAAATAATAAATGTGCAGTAAATGTCTGTACATGGATTAGGATTTTTTTCCCGAGGTTTTTTTTCTTCTCCTCCTGTCTCTGAGGAGCACGGAGCTGGCATCCTGCTGCCAGGAATCTCCTTGACCTCAGTGGGTAGAATTTCATTTTACAAATCCCCAGCTGAGGCTGTGCCGCTTCCCAGGACACAGCAACCACCATCAGCTTCATTTTTCTTCACCCTGCAGCCTTGTACCTAAATCCAGGTAAAAAATATTCCTTCTTTAATCATGACAGTGCACAACCACGTGGATTGTGAGCCTTGGGAGTGTTTAAGGTGCTCAACTCAGATTATTCATAATTATTTTCCCATCTGTGGTGCAGCCTCACTTTCAGGAATATCTGTTCCTTGTCCTCTCTTTGTAAGCAGCTTCTGTCCAGGTATTTTATTTTGTTTTAATATGGTTCAGAAATGTGTGATCCCTTTCTTTTGTCCAGACTGGAGCTGGAACATAGAATGTTGGATTAGAGGCAGGCTGGACCTGTTGGTTTGTAACCTGCAGCTTTTGAAGCTGGACCTGAGAGCTGACCTGAAGGTGAATCTTTTATACTCTGGGTAAGTACAGGACTTACTGTTAAATCTGTCTGGAAAACTGAAAGCATCTCCTAAAATATCAACATTCCAGCTTCCAGCATGGTGGGAGCTTTAGCTCTGCAGATTTTGCTTTGTCCTGTCTAAAAGTAATCCTAGGTAAGATGGAAAGTTTTTGGTTATTGGAATGAAAAGTGGTTGGAATGGAGAGTCCCCCTTCTCTGTCCTTCCCATGCTTCTTAAAATATTTTAATGAAATCATCACTGACTTCTAAAAGTATCTTTGCTGTTAGAATTTCTTAATTTTAAAGTCTTGGTTCTGCTTTGTATTTTTTTTAACCATAATATTGTCTCTCTTGAAGTAACTGTGGTACTTTACCTGTGATCCAATGGCAAATGCTGCTCTCTTCTCATTGTCACTGTGGTGAATATTGCCTGGAATGCTGAGAGATGGAATCCTCCTGCCTGTGGGATGGGCAGGTCTGGTACACATTGGTTACAAAAAGATCTGTTTGATACCATGAAACCACCCTGTTTTTTTCTGGATTATTGATAGGTTTGAAGAGACACACAGAGACTTCATTTCCTGATGAAACAGGATAAACTGAAATAGTTGAATTAGCTGAATTTATAGAGGAGGACTTCCTGAGCAGCCAGATCTCATTTGGCACAAATCATCCCTGTAGTCAGAGCTGAAACCAAATGTATTATTTAGGAATAAATATGGTTGTTCAGCTGACACAATATTTAAATCCCATCTTGGTGAGGTGGGTTCCCATTTCCAGTGCTCCTCATGACTCTGACTCCTGAAATACCATTCCATGGGTGTTTGTGGGGGAAGCAGCTCTGCCTTTGCTCTGCTCCATCCAGGCTCAGCTGCACAGAAAAAGCTTTGCCAGTGATGCCAGTGCAGAAATCTCTAGATGGAAATTTTTTGGGATGCCACCAGACTGGAGCCCCAGCTGGGCTGAAGAGATTCCTTGTGTTAGGAAGGGAATTCAGTGAGTTCCATGCAATTTAGGAGAGCAGGCCCTGTGGACTCAACAGGGTCTCTGTTTGATTCCTCTTTGCTGCAAAGATGAGAAGCAAAGCAAAACCTTGGAGAACTCATTTCCCTCCCCACATCCCCTACTAATATTTTCCTTTTAGGGCCCCTGTGTTCTGGAGGAGCAGCAAGCGCAAGCATTTCAACCTTTGGGAAGGTGACAGCTTTCCCCGTTGGCTCTCTGATACCTTAGCATTTTATTCCTGAGCCAAAATACCTTGAAAACATTCCCAGTTTTAAAAATATGCATTCCTGGCATGTGTTTCTCCCTGGGAGTCTGGAGATCCAGCCAGGATTCTCACATGCAGGGCAATGCACAAAAATAATGATACAGGAGAATCTACAACAGAAAGCTTGGGTCTCTCACAGCTTTTTTTTTTTTTTTTTTCCTTTTCTTTTCCCCAGCATTGAAAAAGTCTCCTCTTATTTACCACATCCACAGTTTTCCTGCTTGGAAATAGGAGGAATGGGAATGTTCTGTCCTGCCCATGGCAGTGCCCTGTGAGAGGCTGAAGTGAGGGAGAGGATGGGGCTTTGAAAAGGTTACTCCAAAAGAATAGAAAAGAAGATAAAAGGTTATTCCAAAGCTTCATTAGACTAATGGGTTGATTGTATACCAAACATCTTTCCAGCTGTCTGATCCCAGGAATGCTGTAAAGCCCAGGGTTAATTCCAGGAGCTGGAATCTTTAGCCTCAGGGATCCCCTTGGTTTAATTTTGAGCACTGATTATCATTTGCCCTTTGAACTCATGAGGCTGCATTCATATTTTGACTTATTTGAAGTACCTGGGAGGCTCTCCTGCAGTTCTGGGCCTAAATTCCCATGTTTTTTAAGGATAACTCATGCAATCAGTTGTACATTGAGCCTCTCCAGCCAGAGAAAATCAACCTCTCATTGGAGATTGATGAGCTCAGCAGCCCTCAGATCTGCTGCAGCTTCATGGGGCAGCTTCTTCAAATAAGGATTTTTCTAGAGCTACCATTGATCGAAAGAATCCGAGGTGATTGAGCTGTCAGGGTTTGTCTTGGCTTTGCTGCTGGGAGAAATTTGGCCACAAATTATTTGCACTATTAAATTCCCAATCTTGGGAAGGCTTTAGACACTGGATACCTGCAGAATTCCATAAATGTGGGTTTCTGGAAGAGCCTGAACAGTGGAGATGAGGATGAAGAATGCTTTGGGAACTGCTGGTTCTGAAGATTCCGATGGGATATTGGGAAGGAATTGTTCCCTTGGAGGGTGGGGAGGGCCTGGGATAGATTTCCCAGAGAAGCTGTGGCTGCCCCTGGATCCCTGGAAATGTCCAAGGATGGGGCTGGGAGCAGCCTGGGACAGTGGAAAAGGTCCCTGTCCGTGGCAGGGGGTGGGATGGGATTTAAGGTCATTGTACATTCCATGATTATATTATTCCCTGTAATGCTCAATTGTAGCAGGAGCTGGAGGGAACATTGACTTGTTTTGGTATTATTTCAGTGCCTCACGAATGGGAATTAGAAATTCATCTCTTTTGGGAGGGCAGGGAAGGTAAAACAACACTGTGTGCCTAAAAAGATCTGGGAATTCTCTAATGGAATTGTGTTCATTACTTGAAAAGGATTTTTCTAGAGCTACCATTGATCAAAAATGTTGGAAAATATTTATGGGAAAGATCCTGGAAGCCCCAGACAGCTTTGCTCCATCCTTTCCCAGTAAAGGCAGTGCTTGGAAAGGATGTGGGAATAATGTGACAGCAGAGTTACAATGGTGACCCTATTTCACAACCACCTGCTTGGAATGGACCTTTCCTGAAAATTCGGGTGATTTGCCCTAAAAAGAGTTTTACTTTTTCTTTTCAATTGCAAGAACAGGATTGAAATTCAGTCAGGACATTTTGCAGCATCTAATTGAAAGTCTCCCAGTTCCCCATGGGGCCACAGATGAATTTAGCAGGAGAAGCATCACCTTCTGAAGGGGGTTTGAATATAAATATAAAACATTTAGGACTTCCTACATGTTTTTTTCTGAAGTTTTCCAAGGTGTTGGCTAAAAGAACTCTCTGTGACAGGATTTGGGTGGAGGAGCCACTGACCTCTCCTCAGCTTGTGAGGGTTAATAAGTCAGGAGAGGAGGTCTTTAGCATTTTTATTCCTTTATACTGCTTTTTTTTTGGTGCAAACAAGTTCATTTGGATGGTTAAAATTTGAAATAATTATTAGGAATGATGAGGAGCTGGTGTGGTGGTAACCACTTTCCAGATAGATCAGATCAAAGACATGGTTTGAAGAAAAAAATATGTTTTCATGGATTGATTGTGGCTTTTGGAGACCAATAAAATCTGTGAGCAACAGGAGAAGGCAGAAAAGCTTCAAGCAAATTCTGCAAAGTTTTTGAAAGGAAATTCAGGAGAAAACAGCGGAGCCACATCTAGAAAAAACAAATTATTCCAAGTAATTTCAGAGCTCTATGTCTGCCAGATTCCATAATTCCTGTGTCCTAAAGTCTGTGAGTCCTGGTGAGAATTACTCTAGGAATGTCAGGATTGACTGTCTGGGGCATTAATAAATGTAAACCATACCTTGACATGGACCTGCTTGGGGTTGTTCCTGCAGAGCACAGGAGCTGGGAGGGCAGGGCTGCCCAAATTCCATGGTTTTCCAGCTTCAGAGCATCCCAAGATGCAGAAAAATCAGTGAGGGATGAGGCCAGTGGGGCTGGGGTGATCCAGGAGTGGTTCCCTGCAGTCCCAGCCTGAGCTCTTCCCATCCTCCGTAATTCTCCTCAGTTTTTTGCCCTTTTCCTCTCTAAGCAGGGCAGGATATGGAAATGGAATTGGTGAATCATGGCCGGTTGCCTGTGCTCTGCTCTCAGATAAATGGAGCAGATAACAAATGGACTAAACCCAAAAAATAAAGCGGCAGATCTCGTCCTTCCCTCTCCTCCAATGCAGGGATCTCTGCCCTGCCTGAATCCAAGTGTTCCAGTGACTCATGCCAGCTAGAAAACCATTGGAAAAATGTACTGAAAGGCTCTTATTCCATGAATTTCCATTTCTTTCTCTGAATTAGTAAAACAAAACTGGAGAGAAGTACTTCCAAAATCACTTCAGAACAATTCCAAATAGGAGTTTTTTGGTTTTTTTTTTTTGGGGAGGGCCTGGGATAGATTTCCCAGAGAAGCTGTGGCTGCCCCTGGATCCCTGGAAATGTCCAAGGATGGGGCTGGGAGCAGCCTGGGACAGTGGAAAAGGTCCCTGTCCGTGGCAGGGGGTGGGATGGGATTTAAGGTCATTGTACATTCCATGATTATATTATTCCCTGTAATGCTCAATTGTAGCAGGAGCTGGAGGGAACATTGACTTGTTTTGGTATTATTTCAGTGCCTCACGAATGGGAATTAGAAATTCATCTCTTTTGGGAGGGCAGGGAAGGTAAAACAACACTGTGTGCCTAAAAAGATCTGGGAATTCTCTAATGGAATTGTGTTCATTACTTGAAAAGCATTTCAAAAGGGAGAAGCAGCAAAGTTAAAGTGATTGGTTACAATTATTATTTTTTAAATTAATAATTTTTTTTTTTTTTATAAATAAACCATATCCAGATGGCCACACCTATTGAGGTACAGAAAACTCTTTTGTTTCCTGGTTTGTTTTTCCCCCCTGCAGGTCAGAGCTGTCCCTGGGGGCTGCATCCACGAGCTCTCTGCAGGGCTCAGTGAGGGTGGCTCCGTGTGACTGCAGGGACCAGGCCACCTGCCAGTGCCTGGTGGCCACCCCGAGCCTCAACCACACCTACCTGCTGTGGCTGGAGATGGTGGCAGCTGGCACAGCCCTGGGGACACCGCTGATGGCCCTGCAGCCCACGGACATTGGTGAGCATGGCTGAACCCCCTGAACATGGAAAACTGAGCCAAGGGGTCGAGCTGGGAATGCAGCTAAGAGAGGGAAAATTGTGTATTTTAATTAAGAGCTTCAATGATTCAAGGGGTTAAGGTAGAAGTGTAGTTAGCAAAGGTCATATATTGAGTAGAGCTTAACAAGGAAATTAATTGATTCCAGGTGGGGATAACTGAAACAAGGTTGGGAATGACAGGTGATGGATGAATATTGAAAAAGTGCAAGAGCCATAAATACAAGTGGCTTCTAAGAGTGAGAGGAGGTTTGGACTGCGAGCAGCAGGCCAAGGAGCCCTGGCAGCTTGACATGGGTGAGGAGTTTACCATGGGGAAGAGGTCTTACTTCCTCTTCAAAGGAAGTAAGTCAGAACTTACGGTTCTGAAATGGTTCAGAGCCATTTCTTTGGGTTCTGATCCATTTCAGAGCCCACTGCCCATGGTGGGCTCTTCTGACCCATCTCAGAGCCCACCAACCCAATTAAAGAGGACAATTGCACAGCCCTAATGGACATGCAGCTAATTGTAATACAAAGTGAGAGGGTTAATGATTATGTAATAGGTGTCCTGGAAACCATCTGAATATGTAAAACCTTTTTGGATAAATAGAGAGTAGGAGTTTGGGACACCTCACACATGTCTTTGGGAGGTTACTCCCCAGGTGTCCAGCACTGTGATAAATAAAACCTCTTTTCAGCACTGTGATAAATACACCCTTTTGTCTGCACTGTAATAAATGTACCCTCTTGTCAGCACTGTAATAAATGTACCCTCCTTTCAGCTTTAATTAGTTGAAGAATCATCTGTCCATGCTTTAAAACAGCAGCAGGATGGCTCTGCTGGGAAAGGGGGCACAGACAGGGCAGGAAAAGCTCCCTAATCCCTGTCTGGGCTCCAGTGCAAACCACACTGAGCACAGCCCAAGCACTCAAAAATTGCTTATTTCTCATTTTTTCCTTTCCAATCAGAACCTCTCTGTGCACAAGACGGGCCCAGTGGTGGAGCTTGTTGCTGAGGGCTTCAAATAAATTTAAAAAGCTGTTCCCAAAGTTGCTTAGCAAGAAATCCCACCCATTTTCCCACCAGCTCTCTGATCCTGATGTTTTCTTCCTCACCCATGCAACCCCAAGCTGGAAAACATTCCAGTGTGTTTGATCAAGCTCAAACTCTCCTGACATGATGAATTTGATATGTGTTGCTATCCAGCGTGCCCAGTTATTACAGATTTTGGCAGATTTCATATAGGCAGGAGCTGACAGCTGCAGGGGAAAAAAATTAAAGTTTTATGAACATCTTATTAACTTAAAATCTTAGGAATTTTATGAACTTCCTCCGAACTGATGTGCTCTGCAGACAGAACCAGTTAAAATCTCTGGGTGGGCTGGTTTGGAAGATGAGAGGTGGCATTTTTCATCCTGCTGCTTTGAAATGATGCTGCAGGAAAAAATTAAAAATTCAGGCTGGAGTCTGCCAGTATTTAAAAATGACACAATGAGTTAAGCTCTGCTTAGTGAAGCATGTTTTAAAAATGCACAATATTAATATATGTTCTGCCAAGATTTAGCTCAATTAAAACTATTTCGAATGTAAAACTCTGAGTGCTTGTGCCACGTGGATTTTATTTGCTGATAGTGGAGCAGGTGGCATCACAACCATCATTATCTGTGGGATCTGATTCAGGGAAATGTGGTGGCAAAGCCAGTCAGTTTTATTTGCCTCCTCCCCAATCACTCCCTGCTGGCCTTCCTGAAGTTAATTGCTTTGAGATGGTCTAGAAGTAGAAATTAAATAAAATCTGACTTGGTGTGGTAGGTCTGAAAATTATAAGAGAATTTTGATATAAATAATTAAATAAAATCTGACTTGGTGTGGTGGATTTATACTGAAAGTAATTAAAGATATTTGATATAACTGAGTGACATTCCAGTAACGCACTTAAATGGGACCCTTGGAGAGCTGGACCCCAGAGCAGATGGAATTTGAAGGGAACATTTGCCCACTGCCCAGGATTTCTGGGAATGTTTTCCCTTCTGCACGTGATGCTCACCCTGCAGTGGTTTGGAGCAGGGTTTTACTCTTCCATGGGCAGAACTTGGCTGTGAACAAGGACAGGGCCAGCCAAGGTCTCAGTACCAGGGAAAAGCAGGGCCTTGGTTCCTTGGCATTGTCCAAGGAATGGAATCCTGGGGATTTCCCACCCAGAGCTCCCTTCATCCCCATGGGAATATCCAAACTCTCCGTTTTCACTCTCCTGGACACCTTCTTTCACAGCCATAATCCCTGTGGAAGGATGGGAATATTTAGGAAATCCCTGTGTACGCTGTAAGGAGCAAATTGATTTTCTTAGCATTCCCATCCCTCTCCTCCTCATTCCCTCTTCCCAGCAAGGCAGGTAAGCCAGGGCTTGGCTACTGGGAAAAGCTGTGGCCTGAGGGAAGAAATTCCTGCAGGTTTAAGGGAAATGGGAGGTCAAACACATCAATTTCTTGATGACTGCAACAGTACCAGAGTGACTTTTCCAGGGATATTACACAACACTGCCATGCAGTAGAGCAGCTCTTGAAAACTGAGTTTAAGAGAACTGAGTTTAAGGCCTGGATTGTGAAAACCCAGTAAAACCCAGCAGCCCTGGAGGAAGCTGGGGCTAACCTGTGGATGAATTTGTGTGCAGTGAAGCCTGAGGCCCCGGTGAAGCTGCACCTGGAGCTGGCTGAGAGGGGCCAGGTGAAGCTCTGCTGGTCCAGCCCTGCCCCGCTGCCCTTCCCTCTGCAGCACCAAGTGAGGATCTCTGCTCCTCCGGGACACGGGGACAGCCAGGTGAGGCAGCTCCGTGCCTCCGGGGCTGGGGCATTCCCAAATCCCAGCATTCCCACCACTCTCCTTGGCCTTGGACTGGGAGTGTGCCTGATCTGGTGGAGCTGGGCTTAGCTTGCTGCTGTTTCCTGGAGAAGCTGGGCTTAGCTCGCTGCCTTTTCCTGGAGAAGCTGGGCTTAGCTCGCTGCTGTTCCCTGGAGAAGCTGGGCTTAGCTCGCTGCTGTTTCCTGGAGAAGCTGGGCTTAGCTCGCTGCTGTTTCCTGGAGAAGCTGAGCTTAGCTCTCTGCCTTTTCCTGGAGAAGCTGGGCTTAGCTCGCTGCTTTTTCCTGGGGAAGCTGGGCTTAGCTCGCTGCTGTTTCCTGGAGAAGCTGGGCTTAGCTCGCTGCTGTTTCCTGGAGAAGCTGGGCTTGGCTCGCTGCTTTTTCCTGGAGAAGCTGGGCTTGGCTCGCTGCTTTTTCCTGGAGAAGCTGGGCTTGGCTCGCTGCCTTTTCCTGGAGAAGCTGGGCTTGGCTCGCTGCCTTTTCCTGGAGAAGCTGGGCTTGGCTCGCTGCTTTTTCCTGGAGAAGCTGGGCTTGGCTCGCTGCCTTTTCCTGGAGAAGCTGGGCTTGGCTCGCTGCTTTTTCCTGGAGAAGCTGGGCTTGGCTCGCTGCTGTTTCCTGGAGAAGCTGGATTTTACATCTGTCCCCACTGAGAGAAGCTCCATCTCCTGCTGGCTCTCACAAACAAACTCCCATTTTTCTCCTTGGGTGAAATCTTGGATTCTGTGAAGTCTAAATCCATTTTCTTTCAGCATTCTATATGTTCTGTAACTCATTTGTGTTTAATATTTATAAGTTTTATTATAAATAAGGGTTTTTTTCTCTTCCTACCACGCAGGTGGCTTTGGAATAACAAGCAGCTGTTAATTAGCAACCCATAATGAAACAACTTGTTTTCCACAGAGATATATAACTTCCAGCAGTCTCAAATTGACACTAAATTTAAAGAAGAAAGATTTTTAACCCAGCTTGCTACCTAAAAACATAGAAAATTCTTGTGTAGAATATGAGGATGTTATCTCCTGTCTCTTAAGGAACAAATGTATTTGCTCAGCACTCCCATCCTTCTTAAAAACTGAGTAGAAAGAGAAGGCAGGAAAGTGAATTCAGGGAATTCTGACTCCATACAATTTATTTATGTTCCTTCTGTCTCTTTTCCTCTTTCATTTTACAACAATAACGGATTTGGACAATCCAGCAGATGCTTCAGGTTGCCCTGGAAAGCTCTGTGGCCGTGGACAATGCCCTGCTGGACTCTCCGTCCTCAGTGCAAGTGAGGAGCAGGAATCTCCGTGGTCCAGGCTTCTGGAGTGACTGGAGCACACCCTACAACCTCACTTTGGGAGGTAGGACACCTGCAGGGTTTGGGGGATAAAGCTGATTTTCCGGCTGGTTTTGTGGGTTTTGTGTTGGAAATTGAGTTGGGATGAGAAATCCTGTGGGAGTTTTTCCTGCCTGAGGCTCAGCTCCCTCCCTGTGCCAGGCTGGCACTAGGAACTCTGGAGAGCCCACCTCTGGGGCTGGCACTCCCTCAGCACCACCTGCCCAGACCCACAAAAAACTCTTTTCCTCAGAGCTTTTCCATTACCAATTCCAGTTGGCAGCCCTGAACCTCCCCTCAATTCAGGATTTTTCTCCTGATGCTTTCTCTCACTTCTGGTTTTGGTTCTGTAGCTGAACTGAAGGCCCAGAGCAAAATCAAATGTGCTTTTTATTTACAAACCAGTGCAGCCTGGTTTGTAATGCTGAGCCCGGTGCAAAGCTGACTTTCTGATTATTTTGTTGTATTTTTCCATGCTCTGCTCAGAATTCCCTGGGAATATTTTGGTCTGTGCTGCCACAGGAATTCTCTGAACTCTTTATATAGGCACCTACACCAGAGAAAGAGCTACACCTTGGAGAAAGAGCTTTTTTCCTAAAGCTGCTTTACTGCCTGCAAAAGGGAAATCTGGGGCAAATCCTAAAAATCCCTGCCTGGTTCCTCAGAAGGGGAAGCAAACCTGACCTTTAAAGGATTTAATGCTGGTTTTGGGGTGTGCTATGCAAAGCTCCATTCCAGCTCCACCTGTATCTTCCTTGAATCCCTGACTGATGGGGGCTGAGTTCAAACTTCTTTAAATCCTTGGAAAAATTCAGTGTATTTGAGCCTGCATTGGGCCACTGCTACAATTTGCTGTTAGTTTCAGTGCAAAACCCGTTTTTGGGACTTCAATCTCCTGCTGACTTCAGGAGGAGGAGGAACAGCAGCTCCTGGAAAGATGGATTCGTTTTATTTTGTTCCCCTTGTGTTGCTTGCACTGCACCCTCCAGGGATTTTCTGCTCTTTTCATTCAGATTTGCCTGGGGATATTAAAGATTATTTAAATCAGAGTTTAGAAACCTCAGGTGTGGAGGGAGACAGACCAAGGCCCATTTCTGCTCCTGTTCTTAGTGGTTAAGAAGTAGGAAAGTTAGAAAAACAACTGGATGATGATATTATTATTATTATTTTCCATTAACAAATGTTTTTATGGTTTTTTTGTTCCATTTTCAATTTCAATGGATTTCTCCCCGCCCTGCTTTTTCCTTGTGTGTAACCTGTGGATATTAAAGATTATTTTAATCAGAATTTAGAAACTTTTGGTATGGAGGGAGGCGGTCCAAGGCTCATTTCTGCATCTGTAGTAGTAGTAGTAGTAATAATAATAATAATAATAATAATAATAATAATAATTTATTATTATCTTTAATTTATTTTATTTATTATTTATTTATTATTATTCATTATTTATTTTAAAATAACTATTAATTAGTTTATAATTATTATAATAATATTTCAATATTATAACACATAACAATATAATATTATACTATTATATAATGATATAATAATATAATAATATAATTATAATTATAATTATAATGTAATATATAATTATAATTATAATTATAATTATAATTATAATGTAATATATAATTATAATTATAATTATAATTATTGTATTAATTTAGTAATACTAAATTATTATAATAATTATAATAACAACAACAATAATTATTATAATGGTGATGATGATGATTATTATCATTATCATGAAATTATTTTTGTAAATTATTATTTTATTGACAAACCCTTTTACATTTTTTTGGTTCCATTTCTACTTCCAATGGACCTTTCCCCCTTTTTTCCCCCAGCTCCAGTGCTGTACTTCCCCGCCCGGAGCCTGAGCCGCGCTGGCTCCAGCCCGTCCTTCCTGTGCCTCTTCAGGAACGTGTCGCGGGCGGTGGCGGCCCGGGAGCTGGTGTGGTGGCTGAACCTGGCCGAGCCCGTGCCCGCCAGCCAGTACTCCGTGCTGGGCAGCCGTGTCAGCAGGGTGACCCTGCCCAACGTGAGAGCCACCCGGCCCAGGGGGAGCTTCCTCTACAGCGCCCTGTACTGCTGCCACCGCGGCGGGCAGTGCCACCACGGCTACGCCGAGTTCTACGTAGTAGGTGAGGCCCAGGGCAGTTCCCGTTCTCCTCTGGGCATTTCCCATTCTCCACTGGGCATTGGCATAGCAAGGATGGAATATTCCCAATTAAAATTCCCGTATCCCCCTTGGCTTTTTGGTTTTTTCCTTTTTTTTTTGTTGTTGATATGCCCAATTCTACGTAGTAGGTGAGGCTCCAGGGCATTTCCCATTCTCCACTGGGCATTGGCATAGCGAGGATGGAATATTCCCATTTAAAATACACTTATTGCCCTTGGCTTTTTGGTTTTTTCCTTTTTTTTGTTTTTGGTATGCCGAATTCTATGTAGTAGGTGAGGCCCAGGGCAGTTCCCGTTCTCCTCTGGGCATTTCCCATTCTCCACTGGGCATTGGCATAGCGAGGATGGAATATTCCCATTTAAAATACACTTATTGCCCTTGGCTTTTTGGTTTTTTCCTTTTTTTTGTTTTTGGTATGCCGAATTCTATGTAGTAGGTGAGGCCCAGGGCATTTCCCATTCTCCACTGGGCATTGGCATAGCGAGGATGGAATATTCCCATTTAAAATACACTTATTGCCCTTGGCTTTTTGGTTTTTTCCTTTTTTTTGTTTTTGGTATGCCGAATTCTATGTAGTAGGTGAGGCCCAGGGCATTTCCCATTCTCCACTGGGCATTGGCATAGCGAGGATGGAATATTCCCATTTAAAATACACTTATTGCCCTTGGCTTTTTGGTCTTTTCCTTTTTTTTTGTCTTTGATATGCCGAATCCTACGTAGTAGGTGAGACTCCAGGGCATTTCCCATTCTCCTTTGTCATAGCAAGGATGGAATATTCCCATTTAAAAGGCACTTATTGACCTTGGCTTTTTGGTTTTTCCTTCTTTTTTGTCTTTGATATGCCGAATTCTACGTAGTAGGTGAGGCTCCAGGGCAGTTCCTGTTCTCCTCTGGGCATTGGCATAGCAAGGATGGAATATTCCCAATTAAAATGCACATATCACCCTTGGCTTTTTGGTCTTTTCCTTTTTTTTTGTCTTTGATATGCCGAGTTCTACGTAGTAGGTGAGGCCCAGGGCATTTCCCATTCCCCTCTGGGCATTTCCCATTCTCCTCTGGGCATTGGCATAGCAAGGATGGAATATTCCCAATTAAAATGCACATATCACCCTTGGCTTTTTGGTCTTTTCCTTTTTTTTTGTCTTTGATATGCCGAGTTCTACGTAGTAGGTGAGGCCCAGGGCATTTCCCATTCTCCTTTGGGTGTTGTCATAGTAAGGATAGAATATTCCCATTTAAAATACACTTATTGCCTTTGGCTTTTTTTTTTTTTCCTTTTTTTTTTTTGTTCTTATTGTTTTTGGGGTGTTTGTTTGTGGGTTTTGTTGGTTTTTTCCTTTTTTTTTGTTGTTGTTGTTCTTTTTGTTATTGTTTTTGGAGTGTTTGTTTGTGGGTTTTTGTGGTTTTTTGTTTGTTTCTTTTTTGGGTTTTGGATTTTTTTTGGTTTTTTTTGTTGGGTGTTTTGGGTTTTTTGTTTTTGTTTCATTTTGTGTCGGAATTTGAAATGTAGGGAATTCTCAGAACTTCAGGTTTATAAGTCAAATCTCAGAATTAAACACAAGATTTGATCTGAGGCTTTGGAAAAAAATTCTAAACTTAAGTGTTAGAAGCGAGGATGTGGATTTATAGTTTAAAGACATGCTAAGTAAGGTTTAGAGTTTTGGAGTTTAGGATATGGAAAAAATAAAAGTAGTTATAAAGGTAAACAAGAAATTTAGAGTGCAGTACTGTAAGTTTGTGTGTTATAATAAGATTAGTTAAGAAAGCTTACACTGTAGCATGAGTCTATGAGACAAAGCATTTAAAGATTGAGTTAAAACCATAAATATTTTGGTTAATATTGTTTTATTAGTTAATAACTCCTTAAAAAGTCTTGTAACTAAGCGATGTGTGACTTTTTAAACTGTGCTGTAAGGATGTGAGCTGAACTCACTTTTCTTACTTATGTGGAAGATAAAAAAAATAAACCACATCATCAAAACCAGTTCAAAACTCCCATCTCAAATTACATCAAAAATTCCTCACTGCTTTTTGTTTTTTTGTTATTTTTTTTTTTAGCAACCATTGTGTCTTTTTAATTAAGCTTTTCATGTCTTTTAATTAGACATGGATTTTAATATCTCCTGTGAGACTGATGGATACCTGACTAAAATGACTTGCAGGTGGTCTGCAAACCCAACCACCTTGCTCCTGGGGACTCTGCAGTTAAGATATCACAGGTATGGATTAAATTAAATTAAAAGAGAATTAAAATCTCTTTTTATGTTTGGAAAGCACTGCTCAAAATATTTTAGTATCAAAGAATTCTGGAGAAATGTAATTATAGAACTAACAGATTCTTTAGTCTGTGTGCAGGAAGGGAACCAGAGATAGCTGAGTATGGAACAGATTTATGAGGTTTTTCAGCATTTTTCAACCTTTTTGGGAGCCAGTTCTCTTCAAGAAGATTTCTTGGATCAGTTAAAAAGTTATTCCAGTTGCTCCTGCCTACAAGTTGTAAGGAAATAAGGGAAAAGCCCATTCCCAGTGGGAATGTGTGGCCTGGGGGAGCTGTAGAATCCCTGTCCTTGGAGCCTCTCAGGTCCTGCAGCTCCATCTGGTCTGAATTTAACTCTGCTCTAAGTCTGAGATGGGACTTGAGACCTCCTGAGGTCTCCACTCAGTCTTTGATTTTTCTATAATTCTGTATCTTTTTTCTTTTCTACATACACACAGGTTAAAATAGAGGCTGAAACAAACTCATTCCAAGGTGGGAAAAAAGTCTTGCTTGGAGAACCAGACCTTAGCTTGTGAAGGGAATGTTGCTTTGTGAAGGCAGCAGCAGGGACTGCAGCAATTCCCAGAATCCCACTCTGGTTTGGGTTGGGAGGGACCTCAAAGCTCATCCCATTCCATGCCTGATATGTTGAGGGTTTCCACTCAGACAGACAGACAGACAGCTCTTCCTGAGGCAAAAAATCCATAATTTTACTGCTCTGCTGGGCTGGAGATGCAGAAATTTTGGCAAACAGCTTCCATCAGCCCTGCCTAATCCTTTGGAAAGGCAGCCTGTCTTCTCTGGTGGAGTTCTGAATGATCCTGGTGCCCAGGTGAATATTTCCCAGGGTTTTGTGGACTGAAGGAATAACTGGAATGCTGGAAAGTTCAAGTGGAGCCTTTTGGGGCAGGATTAATGCCTGGCTGAGTGCTGAGCTAGCTCTTGTTTACTCTGCCTTCACAAATATGAGTCTAATGAGTGCACTGCTGGGCAGGGAGCTGGGAATAAACCCCATGCTGCTCATCGTGGCTTTTATTCCCACTTCCTCACTGTTCAGGTTTAGCTAAAAATGTAATTTTCTAGTAGGAGGTGATAATGTGGAGATTTGTTCATGTTCCTGCAAGATCAAACAGTGACATTACCACTGCCTGCAAATCCTTCCCAGATGCTGCTGATCCTTCTTTTTGTTCTGGTTTTTGTGGTTATTTGTTCAGAGTAAGACCTGAGAGAGGGAAATGCAATAAAATTCCTGCTGCTGTTCCCTTTAGGAGCTGGAGTGCAGCACTGCTGTGCTGATGCTCCGGCTGCGGGGTTTTGTTTTGCTTGGGCTGTTCCTACATCTTCCTCTGCAGGCAGTGAGAAACAGCTCCAGAGGGATCATCCTGAGGGAGCAGGGAATGCTCCAATGCCAGCCTCCAAAGCATCAGGCACTGCTTTAATCCTGGGGACACAAAGAGGGAACTCCAACCCAGTGTAACTCTGGTGGTTCCTCTGAGGAACTCACGCCCCCTCCAGCCCCTCTCCTCACAAGTCTGAGGAGAAAGCTGAAAAATTCCCACTCCAAGGATTTACCCAGTTACATTTTGTCCAGAATCCAGAACCTTCTCTTGCCAGGTGTGATAACTGGACATGGGATTTTTAATTCAGAGTTAATGTTTTGATGGGATTTCCATCTCCTGGAGACCTCAGTGGGTCTCTGCAGCAGCTTCCTCCTGGTTGCCAGTTGGGATTTTGGAAGTCATTCCTGACTGGAGTAGATTCTTGGCAGATTTGCCTTGCTGTGTTCATTGCCAATCCCTAAAATCCCACAATTGATGAGGATTTGGAGCTGCCTTCTCTTGTTGTACCTGCTGCTTTTGTTGTTTGTCCTGCTTTTTCCAGAGCCAAAGCTTTGAGGAGTGACACTGAAATGTTTTTTATCCCTTCAGTGCAGATCCACGTTCAAGATCCAAATAATCCTCAAAATCCCAGGCCATTTGCAGTGCCTCCATTCCTTTTAATTCCCTCCAGATTTACACTTGCAATGTATCAGCTGAATGTGGTTTGGTTTTTTCCCCTCTTTTAAGGAGCCAGATTTACTGCTCTGACTTTCCAAGGCCGTCTCCAGACTCAGAGGTGAAAGAATGCCTTTTGCAGAGGAACCATTCCTACGAGTGCACATTCCAGCCCATTTTCCTCTTGTCTGGATATACCCTGTGGATAGAGTTTAAACACTTCCTGGGAACCCTGGAATCCTCCCCAGTTTGTGTCATCCCAGCAGATGTGGGTAGGTCAAGATCCATGAATCTCTCTTCCTTTGTGACCCTGGATTTTTAAATGGTGTAGGGAAAGAATTTTTCCACAGGTTTTCAATAAAAACATGAGAGTTTTGATATTACCTTAAAGAAAAATTGGTTTAAGTGTTATTTCCATACAGGATTTTAAATGAAACATCCATTTCTGCCTGTTATTCTCTGTACAGAAAATGCAAGTGTTATATTGCAAATATAATGAAGCTCATTTTTAAGGTTTTGGTTATTTAATTTTTCAGATTGATTTGTCTTCAATTAATTAGTTTATACTCCAGTATTATTTGCACAGTTGGTTTTTATTATTTTTTAAATTGATTTATGTATTTATTTATTTATTATTATTATTATTATTTGCACAGTGTGATGTTTACACAGTTAAAAACCCATTAAAATCATGGGGACTGTCCCTGCTCTTCCATGCTGCTGCAGCATTTTGTGACACTGAATTTCAGAGCACTGAAATTTGGATAAAAACAAGAGGCAGGAGCAGTGTTTGGGTGTTTTGAAAACTCCAAAATGTGCAAATCACCTTTTCTTACCTGCTTTGCGACAAAGAATTCACTGGGTATTTTTTGGAAACAAATGTGAACATGGGTGAGAGCAAACAAGGCAGCTGGATCCCAGAGGTGCTACATGAAATAAATTCCAGCTGTTCCCATGCCTGACCACCCTTCCCATGGAGAAACTTTCCCAAATATCCAACCTGAACCTCAACATTTATTGCCAGGCTCTGTCTTTTGTTCTTTATCCCAGGGCAGGTGGCAAGTGCCAGCACAAAATAATCTGCCGTGCTTTAAATGAAAATGAAAATGAAATACCTGGAAACATTCCCGTGGATTCTGCGTTTCCAGTCCTGCTTTCCCTGGAATAGCAGAGGCCTTGTGTTACCCACCACCCTCAGGACAAGGAGAAGCCATCCATGCTTTGATTTATTGGGAAGTGCCAGTGCAGACGTTGCAGTCATTTTTTAATTTTTCCATTTTCCAGTGAAGCCTCTGCCCCCTTCCAATGTGGGAGCTGAACTCACCAGGAACGCGGGGCTGCTGAACGTGAGCTGGACCCCGCCTGTCTTTGCCAGCAGGGATCTGACATTCCAGATCCGCTGGAATTCAGGGAGCAGGGAGGAGAGTCCATGGCAGGTATGTCTGTTCCATCTGGCCTGGAGCAGGGGTCATTGCATTGCTGTAGTGTGGAGCTGGTTTTTATGGAATCTGTCCATGGGGGAAATCACAAAATGCAAAAGCATTTGCAGTGTCCACAAAGGAATTTTCCTCACAATCCCGCTTCCTCATGGGATTAATTTTCAGGAATTTTGACTCTTAAGAGCTGCCTAAACATCCCTTCATCCTCACTGTGACTGTTTTGCCTTCTGTGCCAGCTCTATGAAGTCCCACAGCCCGCAGGCAGCTGGGCTGTGATCCAGGTGGAGCAGCTTTGTGTGGAGTACGTGGTGCAGGTGCGCTGCAGGGAGCTGGAAGGATCCGGGTACTGGAGCGACTGGAGCACAGCAGCCCAAACCCTCCTTCAGGACATCAGAGGTCTGTGCTTCCAGGGACATCCTCAGGGCTGGGACTTGCCACACTCAGCTGGGACTGTCCCTCCCAAATTGTTGTTTTGCAGCTCCCTTGCGAGGCCCGGAATTTTGGAGGATCGTTTCTGAGGATCCAGCAAGGAAGCAGAGGAATGTTACACTCCTGTGGAAGGTGGGAGCAGCTGCATTTGGGGCTTTCCCTGTGATCCTAAAACCAGGTGGGATTGCCAGAAGGGGAGTCTGACAGGCACATGAGGCTTGTGGGAATTGGGATTTGCCTTTTTCTGTGCTCCTGATAATGGCTTGGCTCATCCTAGAGGCAAGAGGTGAATCCTGGTGGGAATTCTTGGATAAAATGGGAGATGGTTTTGTCTTCTTTGCCTTAAAATGTTAATGCAGGACAGGAAAAAATTCCTCAGTGCCCATTCCTGTTTGTTCATATGCTGCTCTGGGGTTTGAACCCTGAAAAATGTGTAAATTAGGGAATTGCTGTGGGAATCTGAAAGTTTGGCTCTCCTTGTCCTTCACTTCCCTTTGCTGGGAGGAGAGGGAATGAGAGTCAGCCTTTAAAAGGATTCCAGTCCTTGGAGAAAAAGACAGCAGCCAGAATCTCTTTATTGGGTCCTGTTTTCTTAAAATTGGAGCTGCCCAAACAGCCTTTGCTCTGGGAATCAGGGATGGAATTCAGGAATTAATGCCCATGAATGAATTGCTGCAGCCCCTGATGCAGAGTGACTCGTTGTGCAGCGTGAGCAGATACATCATAAAGCACCAGACCCCAGGGAACACCTCCTGGGAGGAGTTTGTGGATCATGGCACCAGCTGGACTTTCCCATGGATGGAGCCAACCCACACCATCACCATCTTAGCCATGAACTCAGTTGGAATTTCTGCAATTAATTCCGACTTAACTCTATCCCAGCAAATGAGCACAGGTAAGAGCAGCAGTGAGGGGGATGTGGGAAATGCCAGGAGTCCTGGTGATGTTCATGGGGAAAGCTTTCTTTGGGATAAAATTCCCTCCATTGGAATAAGGAATGTTTTATGGGGATACATTCAGCACCAACAGAGCTGTTGGAAAACTCAGATTTCCTTCATGAAAATCCTGTGATTTTTGGGATAGGAAAAAAAGTTGTCACTGGGCTGTCTTCATTAATAAAATATAAAGTAATTAATCAAAGAAAAACAAAATCCTGCTGGAGAACTGATCTTTCATCTCCTTTGTTTTGGGAACACCCAGTGTTCCTGCTGGAGAATGTTTTGTTGTCTCCAAAATGAGATGTGGTCGTGTTTTGGGCTGCCAGGGTACAGAATCCTCAGACTTCCTGAGCAGCAATTCCTGCTCAACTTCCTGAGCAAATTCCTGGATTTGGCTGCACTCTGCTTAATTTATTTCTGAGAATTCAGGAATTTTTAATTTTTCGGTTAAGGATAATTAAGGAATTGCAGGTAAGATCTGGGATTTTTGATGTCTGCAAGAAACTTGATCTGTTTGTGCTTGGGACTGGTTTAGTGTAACCCAAATTTTTGGTGGCTTGAAGAAAAAACCTCTCTGCTGAATTATTATCTGGCTTTATTATTCAAAAGGCAATTAAAGTGATAGAGTGGTGACACTTTAGCAGTTTATGGAATGTGGATTCCAGGTGTTTTCCCTGTTTCCCCAGTGGATGCTGTGCAATCCCTGAGTGCTTACCTGGTGAACAGCACCTGTGTGGTTCTGGTTTGGAGTCTCTCCCCCCAAATCCCTGGGATAAAATCCTTTGTGATTGAGTGGAGGAACCTGAACAAAGAGGAGCAGGTGAAATGGCTGCGAGTTCCTCCAAATCTCAGGAAATATTTCATTTATGGTGAGTGTGTGCTTGAAAATATAATTTGTGCTGTTAATTGGTGTGGAACAGAAAAATGTGGAATTTCTGAGCTCTGAGCCCTTTTCCCCCTCTGTGTTTCTAATCACATTTATTGACCAATAAACCAAATTTTGATGCTCATTAGAGGATTGCCTGTTGTATTAATAATCACTTTAAGCTCTGGAGTGAGTTCATTTTGTGGCAACACAATAAAATTAGTTCTGGAATATTGAACACGCCAGCTAATTATTCAAATGAATATCTGCATTTCCTTTGCATTTTGACTTTACTCCTGGAAATTATCACAGGAGCTCCATAAGGTGTTCATTCCATGACAGAATAATGCTGGAATAATAGCTTGAGTCTTGGATTTTGAAGTAGGGATCTGTAAAAGATGGATCCATTATTGCCCTCTCTGGGCTGATCTGAGCTCTGATCTGTGCCCAGAGGCTCTGTGGAGGGGATTATTTAAAAACTGGATGATAGTGGGTTCCAAAGGCTGATTTTCCCTTTGCAGATCACTTTATCCTGATTGAGAAGTACCAGTTCAGCCTCTACCCTGTGTTTGCTGGAGGAGTTGGCAAAGCCAGAGCCACGGATCAGTTTGCCAAAGGTGACTGACAGGAGCTTTTCCCCTGTTTTCTATGAAGTAAAAGTGATCTTGGGAAAAAAAAAAAAAAAAAAAGAAGAAAAAAAAAAAAGTGGTAATAAAGTCACTGTAATGTACCTACAAACAGTGAACAGCTTTAATTTGAAAACTCTCTGTGGGCTGAGCTGAGGGATTAAACTCCTATTTAAATAATTCCTTTTTGTCTGTTTATTCCCAAGGGAAAGGTTTGTCCATGTGCAATAAAACTGTTGCTCAAGGTTATTTCCCCATCTAAGCTGTTGTTTCTACTGTTTGTTATTTCCCTGTTGCCAACTATTTGCTCCCAGACAAATCACTTTGCTGCATTAATAGCTGAACTCCTTTATTTCCAGGGGGATTTGAACCTGGGAATACTGGCAGCCTCCACGTGGTTCTTCCCATTGTTTTCTCCACCTCAGTTCTGCTGCTGGGAGCGTTGCTGGTTTCACACCAAAGGTACCTTGTTCCTGCCACCCAAACTCCAGCTGCACTGGGGCCACTCTGCTGAACTGGTGTCACAGAATCCCAAACTGGTTTGGGTTGGGAGGGACCTTAAAGCCCATCCAGGGCCCCCCCAGGGACACCTCCCACTGTCCCAGGTGCTCCAGCCCCAGTGTCCAGCCTGGCCTTGGGCACTGCCAGGGATCCAGGGGCAGCCACAGCTGCTCTGGGAATCTCTGGGGCTCTTCCCAGCCCCTCCCCACCCTCCCAGCCAGGAATTCCTTCCCAATCTCCATCTAAATCCCCCTTTTCCAGCTTACAGCCATTCCCTGTGTCTTATCCCTCCAGCCCTTGTCCCCAGTCCCTCTCCAGCTCCCCTGGACCCTTTTAAGCCCTGTGGCTTGTGGGCATTCAGCACAGACTGCACCCTTTATATTTTGCCAAACTGCCACCTGGAATGTCCCTTCTTTATGGTTTGGGTTAAATTTGGGCCATTTCTCATCTCTCCATTGATTATTCCATGGCCATAGTGCTGTGGATAAATGAAATGGCAGAGATTCCTTCCCAGCACCAACCCCAGCTTTTCCCTGACATTTCAGGATGAAGAAGCTGCTCTGGGAGGATGTTCCCAATCCCAAGAACTGCTCATGGGCACAAGGAGTTAATTTCCAGCAGGTTTGTATTTCCCTGGGGCTGCTGCTTCCTCCACCCAGGGCTGTTGTTCCAGCTCTGTCTCCAGTGGAAATCCAGCCCCATTCACCCCTCTGGCTCCATCCAGAGGTTCCAGGCCTCTGGATTATGCATTGGATGTAAAAAGTATCTGCTTTTAATGATAAACTGTTAAATAATAAACTGAGAAATACCAGTTTTTAATAGGTGACAGATGGTGGCCTTTGCCAAAACAGCCCTGGCCTTGGCTGGGAGGGGTTTAATCTGTGTTTGCTGTGGTGTCCATGGAGAGGGGAAGGGACACAAACATCTCCATTAGGGATAACCCACATGCATGAGGAAAAAATTGTTATTTTCATTGTTTAAAAGCTCCCTGTTCATTTTGATGTGGGAACGTGATGGATTTGTGTGGGAAAATCCCAAATTCAGGGCCCAGGTGTCACCAACAGCGAGTCTGGACTGAGTAGAGCCCAAGAGTTTTACTCTTTGCTCTGATTTCCCACAACTCTGAGTATTTTGACATTTTCTTCATTATTTTGGCAGCTTCCCTGCTGTAAAACATGGTTTGTTAATCCACAGAAAACCTGGGTTTATCTGTTTTGTCCTGAATTCATTAGGAAATACGAGGGAATTTTCCTTTGGAGCTCTCGTGCTGCTGTCAGTTCATGCTGGTGGATAGTTTACATCTGCATTTATTAGGAGTAGTAAATCCTGCATCCTCCCAAATAGAGGAGTTTCACTCAGTTCAAACATGCAGCTGCTATTCAGGTGGGAATATTCCAAAAATCCTATGGAAAGGTTGAGTTTGACCTGGATAATCCAGTCCTAGCAGGGAACGTTCCTTCAGCTGATGGTAAATCTGTCGAGGAAATTTTGTCATGGAGGATTTTCAGCTATAAATTCTTAAAAAAATAATGTGTGAACTCGATGTGGCAAAATTCCATCCTAGCAGGGAAAGTTCCTTCAGCTGATGCATCAATGGTAAATCTGTCGAGGAAATTTTGTCATGGAGGATTTTCAGCTATAAATTCTTAAAAAAATAATGTGTGAACTCGTTGTGGCAAAATTCCAGGCTCCTGGGAACGACCTTTGATGTTGGGTGCTGTGATCCATAAAACCTGGAGAGTGAAATAAAGCTGTTCCATAATAAATGAGCATTAAAATCCCTCTTTTCTTCCAGCCTGAGACTCTGGAGCATCTCTTTGCCAAGCACCCCGAGCCAATGTCATGTGAGCCCCTTCTCCTGGAGGCAGAGATGGTGCTGGAAGACATCAGCATCACCAAAACCTCGGGAAAAGAAGAGCCAGGGGATTTTTTAGGAATCGACTCCACGTTTCCAAGCCCCCAGGACTCGGAATGTGACTCGGCGTGCTCCAGCAGCCACTTCCAGAGCAGCAGCTTCTGCAGGAGCTGCCAGGATGGAGAAGGCACGGCTCAGGGTGACCTCAGATACGCCGCTGTCATCAGCAGCTGCCCCTCCAGCGGGCTGTGCCGACGGAAAAGCAGCCCGAGGAGCTCTTTGGATAGCTGCTTCCCAGGGGAGCATTCCATCGTTCTGGGGGCCTTCTCCAGTGGTGCTTGGGAGGTTGGGAGTGGGGCAGTGCTGGTGCTCCCTGGCTCCCAGCCCAGCAGGGCTCTGTCCCTGGTGTCCTCGGAGGGGTTCTCGGAGCCTCTGGACGAGGCTTTCCCAGGCAGCGCCGAGCGGAGCCTGTGTTACCTCGGGATAACAGCCCTGGACAAAGGACACAGGGACATTCTCCTGGCAGACAGCTCCAGGGGCACGTGGCAGCCCCAGAGCACGGATCTGCTCACGGAGGGGGAGGTTCTCCAGCACATCCCAAGCAGTGTCAAGGAGTTTATCCCAAGCAGCCTCAAGCCTAAAGGCGCCGTTCCCTATGTTCCGCAGTTCCGGATGGCTACAGCCAAAGGGCAGGAGAAAAAGTGACAGAATCACCCCAAAATTCAATATTCTTGAAGTTTTTCCAGGTGTTGATGCATTCTCCCATTTCCCCTCTCTTTATTTACCCAGCTTGTTCTGGTTTTAGGCTTCACCTGGAGCCCCCAAGGGTGACAGAGCTGATCCGTGGCCTGGAATATTTCTGAGGGAGAAAAGCTGGAATGGGCCATTTTCCTGAGGGTGATTTGTGACATTGAGTCAGCCTGGATCTGCTTGCAAGGAATGAATCAAGGAGTGAAAGGCTCAGGGTACTGCAGGAGGAGGAAGAGAATCCAAACTCCTGTGTCTCCATTAATTGGATAAAGTGATGTATTAAAGTATCCACATTTTATTGTTGAACACAAGATTCCAAATGGTGAGTTTTACACTGACATCTCTTCCCAAGCTCTTTCCTAAGATTCCATGGGAGAAAAGACAGGAACTGGATCCAAGGACCCTGCATTTTTGATTTTGGGGGATCCAACGTCTCTGTATGGCCTTGGAGAAGTCACTTTGCCTTTACAACCCTGCCAGGAAGCCTCAGGTGGGAGTAAATCAGGACTGCATTTTCTGGAAGAAGCAGAAAAACAAGCCCACACCTATTTGCGAGCCAAAGCTATTTTTTTTTTGTTTTATTTCATAGTTCATAAATATTTTTCTACACCTGTCCTTTTAGAGAACTATTTTGAGGAGTGAAGGAGGATGAATTTATTGTGTATTCCAAAGAATCTATTTCTGTCAGAGAGACAAAACCAAAGGGCAAAACTGATGTTAAAAACCAAAGCAAGGGTGAATTTAAGCCCTTGTGAATTTAAGTTTAACACAAAACCCCACTGCTGGGTTTTGTTAAGCTGCTGGCCTGGCTCTTATGGGGCTCTTTGGTGCTGGATGTGACACAGATCCCATGTTCTAGTGTGGGGTGAGGAACTCAAACTTGTTTTGTGTTAGGAACCAAGACTTGTCACTGTGGTTGGAGATAAACTGCAGGCTCCTGTGGCATTCCAGGCTAAAGCTGTGATGGATGCTGGATTTAGGATTCACTTCCTGCTGTTGGGAAGGACAGGAGAGCCCAGTTCTCTGGAGAATGGAATGATCCTTTCATGAAAGTGTCCAGAGAAATTATTTGGTTGTGTTTGAAGGTCATCTTTCTCCAGAAATAAAAAGCTGATGTTGATTTTGACCTGCCCAATCCTTTCCCAGTAATTCCATATAAACAGAGGGAGCTTAACCATGGCAATGATCAGCTGAGGGACCAGGGAAGGCTTTCCTGGGAACATGGAAAATTCAGGAGCTAGGAGATGTGCAGGAGGTCTCTCCTCAGTGGACCCTGGCAGATTCCCAGGTTTCACCTCCTTTGGGAGCCCAGCCCATCCTCCCACTGCCATCCCATGATTTTCCTAATGGCCAGAGCAGGTGGTGCTCCTCAGGAAAACCAGTGGATCTCCTCTGCAAAAATCCTGCAGGAAATGCAGCAAATCTGAGCTGCTTCAGCAAAAAGGGAAGATTTGGGGTGTGATGAGTGTAGAACCAAGGGATGGATCCCTTCCTGGGCTGTTCCTGTCCACATCTGCAATCCCAGTGCTCCTGAGGATGCTGCAAATCCAGCTCCTGCCCCACAGCACGGGGCAGGCCACGGCTCCATAAATAATTCCTGAAAGTGGCATTTCCATCCTGATGGGAGGGACATTCGATCCTGCTCCTCACCTCTCCGTGCTCCCACGGAAAGCCAAAATCTGCATATCCTGAATGCTCCATCTGCTGCCTCTGGCTCCGGTTACGGCTCCGGCCGCTCCCTCGGGCAGCAGCTGCCTCGGGAGGGAAAACTGGGAGCTGGGGAGAACTGAGAGCTGGATTATTTTCCATCATTATTTTCCCCCTCAGCTTCAGCTCGGGTTGTTTCCCACAGATGAGCCTTTCCCGATCTGAGGGATTGCTGTGTTTGCAGCCACAGGAGCAAAATCTCCTTGGCTCATTCCTGGCTGAGCTGGGGATGGCAATGTGCGCTGCCCGGGGATTTTGGAAGGTAAGGAAGTTTTTGTTGGAGCCACAAGAAGCTGCCACTCGTTCCAGAAGAACTGTCCCTGCAAGGGACACAGGTGTCACCCGGGGGAGGGCTGGAAGGGGCTTTGTTCCAGGAGCTGTCCTTGGAAATGTCTGGAGCAGGGAATCTGTGCTCGCTGCCTCTCCCAGGCTCCGGTTCCTTGGCAGGAGAGCTGGGAAAGGAACCAGGAGCAGGGAGAAAGTAGGGAACAGGGTCATGCCAGGACCTGTGCTGGGACAAAAATGGGTTTCAAGTGATGATCTTCACCTCCAGCTCTGCTCCGAGGGGTCTCCTCCACTCCTGGCTCGGTGCCTGGCAGACCCAAAGGGATTCACCTGCCCCTGGGCATGGGGAGGGAGGAAAAATCTATGGAATTGCATTTGGGAGCATCCCAAGAGCAGCCACAGGAGTGACCCAGCACAGTTCCTGTTTCCTTCCCAGGGAAAATGTTGCTGCTTCTCCAGAAATGTTCCTGTGCCACAAACAATCCTGAGCCAATTCCCAGGGAATGTGGGCATTTTGCAGAGAAATGGGATTTTTTGGCCGTGGCCTCACACTCACCAGGAAAGGCTTTTTCAGTTTGAACCAAGCAATTACAGGAACCATGTGCAGCTTCTGAAGTACAAATTAAGATCCTGCAGATTCATTTTGAAGAGCGTTCAGGACTGCAGCTCTTTTATGTAAGAAAATGAATCAAATGTGTCATTTTCCCTTTTCCATGTCACTTGCAGCTACAGTTAAATTCCCTTTTTTTTTTTCCTTTTCTTTTTTAATCCGGGATTGATGTTTGAAGCAGCAAAAACTTCCAGTGCTAGGGATTTGGAACTCCATGATCTTTAAGGTCCCTTCCAACCCAGGCCATTCCATGATTCCCTGATTTAAAAACACAGAAGGGACCAATACATCCTCCAAATCCTTACCCAGGCCGTGATTTTGTCATGGACATTCCAGATTTTGTGGTCCCTGCTGAAGAAAAGGGAATTAAAATGCAGGTTCCTGGTGGGGATTTCTGCAAGAGGAAGGATCCCATTCCTCCAATCTTCCCTCTGCTGGGAAAGCAGCTTATCTCGAGGTTTGAATTGAATCTATTTGGGGTGTGCATCCAGGTTTTTCCCAGTAAAACACCGGGATTTCAGCACCTGCCCCAGTGCCCAGATCCTGCTGTTGGCAAGGACACTGCAGCACTGGCACACAGCCCCAGCCACACCAAAAGGACCCAAAAAACCCCAAATTCCTTTCAGGAAGAGCCAAACTGAAGCCCCAGCATCCTTGTGGTTGGAAAAGCGGGAGGTTTGGCAGGTGCCATTGTGCTCGCTAATGATCCCAAACAAAAACCGGGAATTGTCTGTGGGGCCTCTCGTTAATTAATGACTCCTCATCAGGAGCTGCTTGTGCCAGGGCTGTCAGCAGCAGGGCAGGGCCGGGCTCTGAGAGCTCTCCCCGGGAAGCTGCAGAGCAGCCCCGATGGCTCCTGGAATAATGCAGAGTCCTGCTGGCAGGGGATGAAGGGAAAACCAAGGGATGCAGAGGGATGGAGGAAGGGACAGCCCGGGGGGGTTGGATGCTGATGGAAAGCCGTGGGCAGCTCTGGGCTCTGTGAGAGATAAAGGTCACGGCAGTGCCACCTCTGCAGTTCAGAGCTAATTAAAGGGTCTCGTCTGGCCTTTTTAATCACCTTTCTTTCACACAGCCTCCCTTTTCCCATCGTCCTGGGTGGGCCCTTTTGGGATGCAAATGAAGCTCGTTTCCTATCCCTGAAAATTCGTTCAAAAGCGGCCATTTGTACCTTCAGATCCAAGAGGAGACTAGGGACAGGTGACAAACACAAACCTGCCTGCTGCTGCTTTCCCAGCAAAGAAAGCAATTTCCATATGGATCCTGCACTTGGCAAAGGAGAAGGAGCAACCTGGGCTGCTGGAAGGTGTCCCGAGCCTTGGGTGGAATGAGATTGGCTTTAATCTCCATCCAAATCCAAACCATTGTGGGATTCTAGAATTCTGTGAGTTCTGTGAATGGGATTTTATAATTCCGTGAATGGATGGGATGGGAAAGCCAAGGAGCAGCTCTGTTAGATCCCCCAAATCTATCCAGGACACACAGGTGGGCAGGAGACTCAGCTCAGGCTGCAAAGGAGCACTCAGAGCCCCATCTCGAGCCTCCAACGATGATTAAAGATCTGGCAGGGAAAGAATTATTTAATCTTGTGCCTGCCTAATGTCAGGAGCTCGTCAGAGACCAGCTGCTGTTTGCAGGAACAGCTTGGAATCCCTCTGCTCCAGCTGGGTGGTCAGGAAAACTCCAGCTGGATCTTCAGGAAAACTCCAGCAGGATCATCAGGGAAAACTCCAGCTGGATTATCAGGAGAACTCCAGCTGGATGGTCAGAAGAAGTCTTGCAGGATCATCAGGAAAACTCCAGCTGGATCATCAGGAAAACTCCAGCTGGGAGAGGACCACGTCCCTCCTCAGCACAGGGAGCAGCAGGGACAGTGATGGACTGAACCCTGCTCCCCATTTCTGCCCCCTGAACCATCCCACACTCCCTGGAGACAACTTCTGGCTGGAGCAGGGATGCTTCCAGAGAGATTTCTTCCAACAGCTCCAGCTGAAGTGAAGGATGTTGGGTTCCTTTATGTTTTCCATCTACAGCATTTTGAAAAGATTGTTTTAGGTTGCTGCTTGTATTGGAGCTGGGAAGGATCTGGAATAGTGGATGGATCTGGGAAGGGTCTGGAGCCCCAGGAGAGGCTGAGGGAGCTGGGAAGGGGCTCAGCCTGGAGCACAGGAGGCTCAGGGGGCCCTTGTGGCTCTGCACAGCTCCTGCCAGGAGGGGACAGCCGGGGGGTCGGGCTGTGCTCCAGGAACAGGGACAGGAGGATGAAAGGGCTTCAAGTTACCCCAGGGAAGGTTCAACTTGGAGATGATGGAAAATTTTTTTCATGGAAAGGTTCTCCAGCCCTGGCACAGCTGCCCAGGGCAGGGCTGAGTCCCCATGCCTGGAAGGGTTTAACATCCCTGTGGATGTGGCACTTGGGGACATGGGGCAGTGCTGGCCTTGGCAGTGCTGGGAAACAATTGGACTTGATGGTCTCAGAGGACTTTTCCAAGATTA